GCCATTTTCAGACTCGGATTCATCATAATACTTCAGCACAATTAGGCAGGCTGCTCAGTTGCTCCAAAGATTCATCTCTTCTTACAAAGTATCACTGAAGTCTGTCAAAGCAATCCTGAAACATCCAGCGCTCTCCTGGGTGAATGTCACTATGACAGAGGCTTTGCAGTATGTCGATTATGTCAGCTGGCTGGGGACAACTAATCTCACCTGACTAACACTATCCCTTCTCCTCCTTATCCTCTCTTCAGGCCCCCTGCCTGAACCACTTTGTTTTTCTTTCACTTACTCATTCGTTTACTCGTGCAAGAAACAATTACTGAGAGCCTCCTATCTGCCATATGCTTCCTATAGCACATACAGACTTCCTCAGCTTACCATGGCTAGATTTATTTTTTTAACTTTATGATGGTGCAAAAGTGATACGCATTCAGTAGAAACCACATTTCATATTTTTAATTTTGATCTTTTCCGGGGCTAGCAATATGAAATTCCGCACCCTCTAGTAATGCGCAGAAGCGGCAGTATGCAGAAGCTTCTAGTCATTCGTGCAATCACCAGAGTAAACAACCAGTACTCTCCTGTATCATTAACATACACAAGGAAGTCAGCATTTTATTATAAAATAGGCTTTGTGCTAGATGGCTTGGTTCAATTCTATGCTAATGTGATTGTTCTCAGTACATAAAAGGTAGACAAGGCTAAGCTATGATGTTTTGGGTAGGTTAGCTATAGTAAATGCATTTATTAAATGTATTTTCTACTTACAATATTTTCAACTTACCATACGTTTGCCACGCTGTAACCAAGATATATGTGTGTATGTAAGTATCTCTATGTGTATGTGAGTAATAAGCCATGATGTCCCTTCCTTTGTAGATTACCTTGGTCCTCTTTCCGCATGATTTTTATTTCAGTTGTAACAAAAGAGTAGTGAAAAGACCCTTTAACTATCATTAGTTGCACAGCTAATCTAAGGGGGAAGTAGATTAGGCTCTCTGGATATAATTTTTTACTTTTGTAAATAAAAATGTTGATAAGGGAAAAAAGATATGTATATATACACAAGACAGCTAAGATAATTGTACTACTAATTTCTATTGGTTCTTTGAAAGGAACAGTTAGTGCTTATATTGTTTGATCAATCTTGCATGCCTGTATCTGGTAATCAGAGCAACTGCTTTGAAGATAACAATATGCAATATAAAAACCATTGTTAATTTCCTATCATCTTGTTTTGAATTTGTATATCTTTTTTATAGTTTTTTTCCTCTCTTTAAAATAAAAAAAAAAATGTTGATTAAGACCAATCTATAGGGGCCAGGGATATAGCTCAGCAGTACAACATCTGCCTGGCAAGCACAAGGTCCTAAGTTCGATTCCCAGTCCCAAAAACAAAAGACCAATCTATAAGAATTTCTCACATGGATTTTTTTTTTCAGGAGCTCCTAACTAATCTGACTTTTATTTGCAAAACCACACACACACACACAAACACACACACACACACACACACACACACACACACTTTATCTGAAATACAGTAGCCAGGCAAATCTTGTGAAATGTTAAATCACATCTTCTTCCTCTGCTCCAAACCCTCCCATGGCTTTCTGCCTCACTCAGAATAAAGCTCAAAGTCCCTACTGTGTCTTGGAAGTGTAATGGCACACAAAAACACCCAAAACACCCAGGATGTGGAGGCAGATTTATTTATGTTGACAGGCACTGATCGGGATCATTCCCAGAATATCAGGCCCTGATCCCTGGTGATCTAGGGCTTATAGGGGATAAGCAAGCAGGAAGTGCAGAGGCAGAATGGCTTGTCAGTTGGGGATTGGTCTATACAATGTGCATCACAGTGACCAGCCGTTTCTAAGAGACAGGAACAACTGCAGCAGGAACAGGAACTGTTACCTGGGCAACTAACAAACTGAAGTATACTGGGGGGGGAGGGGGCGGTATTTTCTGTTACAGAAGTAGTACTAGTCCCCAACAACTGGAAGTGCTGTAGCTCCCGAGGACTCTTTTAACCTCACTTCTGGTTACTATGCCTTTCGCTCAACCAGTCCAGGCACACTGGTTTCCATGCTGTTTCTTGCATACTCCAAACATCCTCCCTTCTCAGGGTTTTTGAACTTGCTTTTCCCCCTGCCTGGAAACTTACCCTCCCCACTCCAAGGCTCGCATGGCCCAAGCCCTCACTCCCTTCAGTGGCTTGTTCAGTGTTTCCTTTTCAGAAGACATTCTCTGATCTGACATCCTACATGAACTAGCATCTACATGACACTCTCTGCCCCTTATCCTGCTTTTTTCCTTTTTAATCTTTATGACTGCCCAACACACCATATATTTTCCTCATCATCTTCTGTCTCTCTCCAATATAAGATACATTTTATGAGAATAAGAATTGTTGCCTGCTTTGTTCCCTATTATACCCCCGGTGCCTAGAATAATACCTGACACATAATAAGTGCTCAATAAATATGAATAAAAACAAATCTTTTCTAGTAGTAAGTCTCATTCTGTGTCAAAATTTATTGATACTTAGTTGGATTCAAAAATGGCTTCTGGGACCTCTAAAGGACAGATCAAGGGTTGGAACTGCACTGCATAATAGGCTAGGCAGTATACTTACAACAAGTATTCCAGTGGAATGGACCTTTAGCTCAATACAATTCACTCCACATAAAGAAGACTTGTGTTTCATAGCATGATGATTTACAATAAGATTAGACATAACTGTCAGTTCTTCTGTGACATTTCTCACAAAGAGAAGGGTGTACCTTTCTGTCATTTTTTTACTTAAGCCCAGAGTTTAGTCACTTATCCACTACAACTAGCTTTTATGAGACAGGGATAAAATAAGGATATGAGTACCCAACTAAATCCAGAGTTGTTTATTTTCAGTAAAGGCCAAGAAAATCTGGGTATACTGTTTACTGGCACAAGAAATACATGCAGTAGAGAGTAAAAAGTATAAGACAACCATAAGGTGTTTTTCTCACTGAACCTCTAGAGCAATCACATGTTCCAGGGCTTTAAAGTACTATTTATCTTACATATTTTTATATCCTGATACCCGGGCCTTGCTCAATTCACACGTGCTGATTAAGTGAAGGTGTCAGCTTCATAGTAAACAGAAGTCTATTAGAAAACAGAGCCCTGTCCCTCCAGGTAATAATTACTCTCATTTCCTGCACAGGCCACAGCCTGGGAGCCACTCACACTCAAAGCAGCAACATAGGCACACGTGCAAGTGCATGCATGCATGGGAACACACACACACACAGCCTCCCTTGAAGAAGAAAGCCAAACTTCTATGCATTGCATCCATATCTGATTGCACAGGTACTTCCTAGCCAGATGAAGCCCAAGGACAAAGCTACCAGGTCACAGTTTATTTCAGGACATCTGGGGCACATCAGGACACACGTACACATTTACAAACACAGGTATACAGATATACATAAGCATTTCAAATTTACTTCAGAATTCTAGAAAATGTAATCACAGATAAATTTATATACACAGAAGCATACATGCTGGTTTTGTCTAAGCATACTTATAAATGTGCACACATACACAAACGCATGCATAAGGACAGCAACATTTACCTTAAGATATGACTGTGAAGAGTAAATGAAATCATGCAAAGTGCACAACAGTGCCTGCCGCATACAAGATGTGATACTAAAGGTCAGTTTTTTATTATATATTCTCCGCCAATGTATACAATATATATTTGGAAATATACGTCATATATCTATATGTAAACTTCTATCAGACTCATATAAATACCCAACATCAAAGCGAAATGTCCTTCCCAGTCCCTCTGTAGAACATCACGGATATTCTGGCATGTGAGAACCAAGGAGAGCGAGTGGCACAGGGGATGACTCTGTGTGTCACAGTACAGACAGGGAGGGGAGGGAAATCCCGCTGGTGGACGGCTGGTCAACAAAGCTTTCCAGCTGTCTTTGCTTGCAAGAAGACCTGGACATAGAGAGAGCTGCACTGTCAATAATTATCCAGGGAAGAACCAGCCTCTAAGCACTCCAAAGAGAGTGCTCCTGAAGTTATTGGGGAGGGGAATGGGCTGTCTTCTCTCAGCATACTTGGGAGGGACAGTACCCAGAGTTCCAGTGATTTCAAATCAGCCAGAGAATCCTGCAGAGGTTATTAATCCACTAAAGTCCCGTAGCTTGGAGAAAATCTGATTAACTCCACCTCCCCAGATGGGCTCCAGAGTGAAATGTATCTCTGGTTTCTGAGACTCAAATAAGGTGTGAAAGTAGAGGGAAGGAGGAGGGAGAAAAAACAGGGAGTGGGAGAAGTAAGTACGAGCGAGACACTTGTGCGTACGTACTGCTGGGTTCTGCTATTCACTTGAAGCAAGCCATAACTCTGTGAGGACCAGTTTCTCCAGCGTATGAAAGGTGAATACCGCTGTCTCTTTATGCAGCTGGAAGATGGTGTATCTTCCTTCTCTCCCCAAAGGATGCCAGCCAGGGCAGTTCCCTCTTTCCCCTGAAAATTAAGGGATTTTTTTTCTTCCTGTATTTTCCCACTACAGGGATTCTGGAAGAGAACTTCTTCTACCTTTTTATCTTTTTAACTGAAAACCTCTCCTTCCCCTCCAGGGTCAAAAATTATATGCAACTTTAGAACTCCAAATAAATTCAGGGATGTGGTTCAGCTCTTCCCTTTTAAAATGATAAACGGAGCCCAGAAGCACGTCAGAGCTGGGACCATAGTGTTTCACTCACAAGCGACTGTTTTTTTAAGGATCAAGGTAAGATTTTGGGAGACCTCAAGACATTAGCTCCGTAGCTTCTCCCCCGCCGCATGCAGGCATAGCTGGGGGGCGCTGGGGGCGGATCGCGCCCAGCACCCCAAGCGTTAACCGCAACCCAAAGTCTATTACGCGATTGGCCGAATACCGAGAGAAGATCTGGTTTTCTCAGTCGCGAGCCAATGAACACCTCGAGTGGGAGGGTTTGAAGATACTAAGGAGTTTTCCCCCCTTTTTTTAATCTCTTCTCCACCCCCTCCCATCCGCTACCTCCCCCCATTCCCTACGCCGCCAGTTTGTTAAATTAATGCAGTAAGAAAGTCTGAAGATCTGAGCGAGTCCTGGCCAAAGGAAGATGGGCGAGCTCAGAAAACCGAGATGCATCTGAACCTTTGGTCTCCTGAGCCCCGCGGGGTAGCTATGAACGCCAGCAGCCCCTGAAACTTGCCCTGAGCTGCCTCGTGCCTGCAGCCCCCGAGCAATGGGACACCTTTCCTGCAGCGATCATAACTTATTCGGCGGGGACCAGAGAACAGGGATTGTAAGGCGACAGCAGACCGGAACGGAGGCAGGAGAACGAGATTCCCAGACTCGGTCGCGATACGCCAGCCTGGCACACTCTCCGAGATTTAACTGAAGGCAGCGCCGTCTCCCGCTCTCCCCTCGCCCCTGACCCCCTCAGGCCAGGCCAGAGCCGTAAAGCCTTGCTCTCTCTACCAAGATGCTCGCCCTGCCTAACTGTCAGGGGCCAGCGCTCTGATCTCCACGGAAGATTTTTTTTCCTTGCATGGAGCTGGCCGTTTAAACCGAAAAACAGGAGTAAAAAAAAAAAAAGAAAGAAAGAAAAAAAATATACCCACCCCCAAACGTGCCTCCCCAGCGCCGCAGGGAGCCACAGACACGCTGGAGTTTAACAAACAGCAATACTCTTCGCGCTCCTGAAAAGCAGGGCTGGACGCTCTCCGTGGTGCTGAAACGCTTTGCGGCCGCCGCTGTCCGTGATACCTACAGCCTCCGCGCTCCAGTTTCCCCTGGGGCTCTGCCTCTGCACCCCTGTTCCCCACGTCTCCTTAACATCTGGATTATTTTTCCAATCGCGATTGCTGGTTTTGTAAGTGCCAATCTGAAACATTTTTGCCCCCATAACTCGTGGACAACAAAGCACAAGGACCTGAAAAATGTACAGCTTCAATACTCTTCGACTCTACCTTTGGGAGACCATTGTATTCTTCAGGTATGCAATTTTCTACTGACCACATCGCTCTGATGCAAATGGGGGGAAGGAGTACGGAGGCAGACGGGCCGTGGTCCCATCATTTGGGGGAGGGGGTGATGTATACCGCTGCAATCCGGTCCCTCCATCCCCCGCCCCCCTTCACCCCCTCCCACCCTCCGCCCGCAGGGTGTCTGGCTTGTGCGTGGAGGTCTGAGACAGTCGCTGCTCTGGCAGCTGTTTGCCTGTTTCTTGCGGTTTGTTTGTCCTTCTGCCTGCTACACCTGCCAGCACTAGCTCCCGGCTCCCCCGCATATTAGCTGTCACTGGGTTGAGGACTTTAACGGGGAGCTTTAGGAGTTACTCAGTTTAATTAGGACTGCATTCTCTCTAACCGCAGTGCCGAAAACCTCAGCTCTCCGTCTGGGAGCCAAGTGACAACTAGCGGTGACGCGGAAGGTTGCACTCAAACTCGCTGGACACAAAACATATCATTTTCTCTCTTTTGTTGTTGTTTTCTTTTCCTGCGGGTGCAGAAAGACGGGTTTCTGAGGCTTAGTGCTAGGGCGCAATAGTGTTATGACCTCCGTTTGTAAAGCTTTGCACTTAGGTGCAAAGTGACTCTATTGAAAGTAGATTCTGAGGAATATTCCCCTTTTAAAACTCTGGCCCTTGCTTTCCCACCTTTCCAAACTCTGCTCGGTCAGCAGCAGACCCTGAGCTGATGGGCAATTCTTGCTTGTTTTTCTTCATTTATCTCCATCCCTGATTCAATAAGTTTCCCCTATCCGTCGTCTCTGAGGTTAAAATTTTCTGCCTTCAGGCTTGGCATTCTTATGTTAGTACAAGTGAAAAGTGAAAAAAAAAAAATCTCCTTAGGAAGCACTGAAATAGATAGGCCTTTTGTAAGTGGGTGAATCATGTCCTCTTCAGAGATGGTTAGGATAAATTCCATTCATATGAATTGAAAAAAATTACTCTTCTCTCATGACCTGCAGGGTTCATTAATCTTCCTTCCTTTAGATGCTTACTTCTCATGTCTTACAGTGGCACTGGATTAAAAGACATGCTCAAACCCCCACTCCAGTCACTTTAAAAACTAAGTGACCACTGAATATTATCCTCTACCATCATAAAACAGTAAATAATTCCTTTTTTATTACCCTCTGTATGAATTGTTGGTTTCACTAATCTGTCGGTTGGTTTATGAGATGAATGACACCTTCCCCAAAATTATAAACAGCTATATGTGAGCCTCTCGTCCCTCCTCCCTCCTCAGATGAAGAAAAGACCCCTACCCTTCTTTCTCTGAGATAACCAATGCTAAAGCTTCTAATCTCCAGTTCAAATAATTCTTTGATAGGCCACTGTTCTAACACAGGCTCAGAATGTAAATAGTCAAGAAAAAGTATAACAATTCAGGGCCTTGTGAAATTTACCTACTTTATGGGTGAAAAAGCAAGAAGTATCTTATTAATAATATCAGATTCATTTTCCCCTTTATACCTAGTAGAATTGTAAAATGTGATGGAGATTAGGAACTTAGTTACATTTATATGCAAATTGATTCTCTGTTTGTCTTACCAGAGACAGGACTGAAGTAGAGAGATTAAAGAGCAAATTAATAGGACCAAGCACATCACGCTACCCCTTTCTACATTCCTTTTTACTTGATGAAAAGTATGCAGTGCTTTAGTTTTCTCTCTCAGACATTGTCTTTCACAAAAGGGATACTCCGTCTAGGAGGTCTGCATGCTAATCATTTTGATAAGGTTCAGAATTCCCTGTGTTAATTTTCCAAGTAAACTGGTGGCGGCCTATCAGGAAACATCACTTTGCAAATCTTTCCCCCACGTATGTGAAGGAACACATGTGTTACAATGGATGTGAGATATAATTCCATATGCTTACAAGGAAAGAAGAGTCATGACTTAAGAGCACTAGAAAGGCAGTGGTACCCTTGTACTTCCAAAGCACAGGAATAGCTACTTTATTTGAAAATTGTTTATTTCTGAAGGGTAAAATAAGAATTGAACTATGCAAATACTGTTAGCAATTTTTCAGAGAGATGGAAAAAATTCACGAGACTGTAAACTGAGTAGCTTGTTTTTGTTCGGCTGGTATTTTCATTTCCAGTTCTTTCATTTTTAAATTTTTAAGCGAAAATACAGAAGCATTAAGGTCTGGAAACTTATTAGAATGTGGGGGTAAATAAAGGCTGGCACTGCCCTGTCAGGTTCCACGTGAATAACTTTTTCACCCCCGAGGGACAGGCACTGTTTGGGGATGAACCAATCCGATCATCTCAGGCACCCAGGTACTCCTTAGATTAAACGATGCCAGCTGCTCACCTTATTGAGAAAATATGGAGGCTGCAAAAGCTCTTGGTTACAGAGGTGCTGGCTGCACTGGCGTGTAACCAGTGAAATGGCAATAACAACAGCAAGACAGACAAAACAGCAGTAGAAGTGAGCGAGGCCAGAATCTCATAGATGTCAACACAGAGAACAAATAGAGGTCTTAGAAAAGGAGACTTGGGGGCCCTAGGAGACCAACAGCATTGTGGTGTGTCCCCAGAAGTAAAAAAGGTGATTTGACTTAAGTTTCTGCTGTGATATCTCAGAAGCCTGAGGTTCTAAAATTCTTAAGTAACATCCAAGGATTCAATGCCCTAAATTTGATGTCAGTTTAGGGATGGGGCCTTATACCCAGATGGACCAAAAATAATAGGCACAGATCTTTTTGAATAATGGGATCATAGTAATTTCAAACCGCCTTTTAAGACACCAAAGGGAACTAACTTGACTTCAATCCCCAGAGCCTTTACAGAGGCTTATGGCTAGGACAGACCCAGAAGGACTACAGAATTCTCCTGCCTTCTCAGTACCGAACAGTCCCAGCAGGTGTAAAGCATGCCGCTCCACCTCTGCACTACTGGTATCTGGAGCGAGTTCTTTGTTACAAGGGCTGCCCTGCACCTTGTAGGGTAACTCACAGCATCGCTGGTGCCAGCAGCACCCTCTCCCTACCTCCCCCACTCACGACAGTCAAAGAATGCCTCCAGATATTGCCCAATTACTGCAGGGCGTAGAGAAAGGGAACAAAAAAATCACGCAAACTTTGAAACCACCCTATAAAATGACCACAATTTTAATTAGAAGTGCTAATGTATTAATTATAATAGGAAAGATTTGTTTTCTTTAGAAAATGCCCCTTGTGAAATGCACAAAGCACTTCAGTAAAAGCAAGAGGGACCTAGCTTGTGCTCTCAGGGACATGGGGGAATGTGCTTCCAAGGCCGCCCTATGATAGAGGCTCCAACCAAGTGGTGCAGTAAGGAGAGCAGGCTGGCTGTGATTTGAGAGCCCTCGTTTCTAGAGTCAGAAGGGAATAAACAAGGGGAAATAAATCAGGTCTGGCCCGCCGGTGGTTGTCCCAAAATATGACCAATTTTCTACTTCCTATCCCAGCAGAGGAGTCTTTGCACAGGGTGTTGTACTGACTATGGCACTGTCTCCTAAGAGAGGTCACCAACACCTTGAGGGGAAGGTGTTTCTATCCACACTAAGCTCAAAGTTTCATACATGGCTAAATAATAGTAATAAATAAAAACCCCCACTTGAAAGGTAGATGAGGTTTCCCTTGAAGCGACCCATCTGGTTGCTGACCTCAAATGTGGCCAGGGGGCTGGTGACCACCTTGATCTTCTCCTCCTGAAATCACAGCTGTATTTTGCACTGACTCTTACCCGCTACATTTTGGGCACTGCGGAAAATGTCTAGGAGTTTCTGAAATAGGCCAGGGACTTTTTCCTAAGGAAAGAAGTTCATTGGGCAAGTCTGCATCAGGACTAATGGGATCACAAATAGCAATCAGTTCACGCTCTTTGGGGGCTTGGGAACCTTAAGAGAAAGTAAAGAAAATGACACACTTTTGTTCCCAAGTGACAGTATGGACAGGGAACCAAGGCCAGTAAATGGAGTCATGAATCAGCATATAACATCTGCATATTTGCAAAACTGGTAATGACCTCTCAGGGACATCCGGGGAATTTACTTCCCAGGCCGCCTTGTGAAAGAAGTTGCATCTATGTGGCGCAGTGGAAAGAGCAGGCTGGCTGTGATGTGACAGCCCTCACTTCCCGAGTCAGCTCTGTTCCCATCCTACAGCATGACCACAACAAGTCTCTTTTATCATGTGTATTCAGTTTTCAACTCAAATGGCTGGGTCTAAGCCTTGTAAGTTCCCTTCAGCCTCTGACAAGCTCTCTGTCAAGCCAGTGACTGATATCCACAAAGGCTCAGATGAACTGGCTCCAACAGGGCTGCCTTCACTTCTCCACCAGCACTCACTCATCACGTGCTGATTGCCAGCCACAGCAGGTAGCATGCGGGGATGGATGCCATGATCCCCGTCCGTGCAGAAAAGGGACTCTGCCCCCTTCCAAGGTACATTAACAACCCTTTTCCCTTGCTCCGGGGCCCGCAGAGCTCCCCCGCAGCCAGCCAGCATGCACATTCTCCTACAGCAACACATTTATGTGGGCGTCATTAACTTTATTTCCTTCATCAGTTGGCAAAAGCCAGAATGATTTTAAAGATGGATGGCGCTGTCTCCCCACATGACCATCTTGATGCTATTCTGCAGGTCTTAAAGTACGCCATAGGCAAACCAGCCTTGGGCCAAATATCAACAAACCTAGGCTCCAGAATTTAAGCACTGACATGACCTTTAGAGGGTTCTGTGACCTTCCTGGCCCTCATTTTCTCAACCTGTAAAGTGAAAGGATCCCACCAATTATTCTCTAAAATCATGCTTGCCAGTTCAGGATTATCTTCTTCCAATTTCTTCCACAAAGCACAGTTCTTGTAACAATTATTGCAACATATTTTAATTATCACCCCCCAAAAAAAAAAAAAAATACCCACACTGAGGTACACCAAGGCTTGAAAGTCCAAAAGAAGTAAAGACCTCATTAAGCAACCTCGGTCTTGGGAGGGTAATGCTTCCTCACCTGGACA